AGCCTGAAGGCAACTGGTCCTGCAAATGTGGTGCTAATAAATAATGGAAAATGTTTACTTTTCAACTTTATGACAAACAGATTTGGGAAAAGTTCTGGAATTTAGCTTAACTGTGTTCCTTTTGACAGTGATTTTTGTAATGCCATAAATAAGGCCGTAGAGTCAGGACACAGAGTACATCCAATTTGGGTTACTCTTGGGCTACTCTGATCCCTGGAGATTGGGGGAGGGGCACCCTCTAGCAGCGAGGCCTTGGAACGTCATGGAGATGTCCTCTCGAATGCCAGATGCTACACATGGTCCAGATTGTAGTACTTAGTAGTGGCCTTCTATTTGTGCAAAGACTTAGCAAAAGAAGTTCATTGCAGCATTTTTCTAATAGCAGAGAACTGGAAATTAATGCTAATGATAGCAGAATGGTTAAATTTTGATACGCACCCAGAAGAAATGTCTGCAACCATTAAAAATACTGAAGTAGAAGTCAAAAAGATTTCTTGGCATGGAAAGATGGTTTCTAGATACCAAATGAAGAAAGCCAGGTTTCTAAATAGTATGTAAGGTATGATCTGATTTTTGTGGGGAAAAAAAATTTTATTTAATATTACTGTTGACAGAAAACAACCCTAAAGGATATTCACCAAAGGGTTAACAGCGTTGTCCGTAGGTCATGGCAATACAGGGGATTTGTTTTTCATCCTTCACTTATTTGCATTTTCTAATTTTTCTGCAATAAGTGTTTATATAATAAAATACTTCAGAAATGATGAGTCGTTGACTACATGAATTATTTCATGCACATTACCCTAGGAGTGATTCTGGAAACATTCTTGGTTCTCTGGGTCTCTTCACCACCGCACTTCAATTTTTTAGGTTTGTGGCCCATGTAAGATCAGCCTTGTTGATACAGCTAGCTTCCCTGCATTCAACTTTTAGCTCATTTCCAGATGAAATCATGTACTTACATTTTTTGCATTGACACTGATTTTTTTTCAAATAAGTCTAGAGCCAATTCCACTTTTTGTAGTTCAGAATCCATTTCCTAATTTCAAAGAAGCACTTAAGACATGCCTTCTGAGATTGAAAATGATTCAAAACTGGAGCAATTATTTATAATATTTCTCTAAGGCGAAAGTGCTGACTAAAAAATGGATTTTGGGAGACTTAAAATGTAAGAATGATTTCCTTGGTCTTGCAGATAACCTTCTGCAAGATACACATGTCCTACTTGCTGCTATTCCTCGGTGCGGTTCCCTTCCATCATCGCAGAGGCGGACCCGTGATAGTCCACTCCACACGTAAGCAAGTCTGGAGGCGTTTGGTTGCAAAGCAAATGTGTGCTTGCCTGGGACCTTTGCTGTGGCCAACCAATTGTGGGCCCTGCTTGCTAGAGCTCGGGGCCATTAGTCGTGAAACGTGACTGATTAGAAGCAGATGTGGTTTAGCTGAACTAAAACGTGGCTCATCCGAAAGGCCTTGCAGACAGTTTCAGGGTGTGCGCCTGTGGGAGGAATTCAGGGACAGTGAGTGAACGGTCTCTAAAAATAATAAGTCCAAGGCAGATCCCTGGCATGAGTGAGATGGAGAGTTCAGAGGTGGATGTCATGCAACTTGAATCTTTAAAAAGTTCTCCATCCTCTCAATCTGTCGCAGCCCTACTCACTGTTTAAGGCCCAGCTCAAACACCACCTCTTTTAGGAGAGCTTGCTGACTCACCTGGGAGGTGCTTGCCCGTACATTGATACAGCCCTCAGCATGTCCTATATAGTTATAGTTAATCTGTCTGACTCCCCAGCAGGATGCGTAGTCCTCGAGGGCAGGACAGGGATGGAGGCATCTCAGAATTCCCAGCACCAGCACGGTCTTGGCATAGAGTGAGTATCAATAAATATTTGTTGTTCTCATGTTTAATGAAAGTAGGAGGACCCAAATAAAACTGCCCCGTAGATAGACTCATTCCTGAAGAATCAGGCGATAAAACAAAGATTATCATCTGGACAGGTTACTGGTGAATTTTTTTTTTCTTCTCCCCAAACCCCACCCCCCCGGGACATAGTTGTATATTCTAGCTGTAGATCCTTTTAGTTCTGCCATGTGGGACGTCGCCTCAGCATGGCTTGATGAGCAGTGCTAGGTCCACGCCCAGGATCCAAACTGGTGAACCCTGGGCTGCAGAAGCGGAGCGCACGAACTTAACCACTCAGCCATGGGGGCTGCCCCAGTAGTAAAAATTTTTACTTCTTTAAACTGCCCTTGTATTGACAACCTTCTTGACAAACAGTTCCGTACCTAGGCCTTTGGGTCTTTATGCAGTGCACAAGGGTGGGCACAAAACCAGCATCGTGTAGAGGCAAGATTGATGATTGAAGGAAGATTTCCCTTCAGGACCAACTGCACCCTGTGTTAGCTGTGTGGTCTCCAGAAGTCTCTTAGCCTCTCAGGGCCTCCGTGTTCTTATCTATGAAACAGGCTTAAGAGGGATGCTGCGCGTCCTGCAGGGTGGGTGGGTAAATTGCTGAGAAACACGTGAAAATCCCTTTGTAAATGGTAAAGCGGGACAGAAGCACCTACCGTAGAGCTGCCTAGACCTCATTTTAACGTCTTCCTAGGTTGAGGTCCCTGAGACACCAAGGCCGTCTCTGAAGAGAGTTGCAGGCTGTCCCCCAGGGGAACCTGGAAGGGCCTGACAAGCGGTCCCATGAGGATCATTGCTTTCATTGATTGGGTTTCCTTCCAAGGCCAGGATGGGGTTCTGCCAAGCATATTTGAACCCAAAGCCCCGTGCGGCTCCCAGATCTATCTCCTGAGGCAGGACTGGAAATACGCACGAAGGAAATGTGACATTACTCAACAAAACCTACCTCCTTCAGCCATTTTGGAAAATTATTTGTGACTTTTACTTGGGCAAACAAGGGTGAGTGAACTTTAGAAAGTTAAGATTGGCAAAAGGATGTTTTACCCTTTAAAGGAGTGGTGAGAATATTCTGATCCGTTTTATAAAGTTGGCTGCGTGGGCATTTGCTTGGTGTGCTGTGAGGGCAAGAAAATCATTCGACACTGACCGTAGACAATGAGTCATCTATGGGATTTGCGTTCCAACCAGTTACCAGCACATATTCAGGATTTAGCTGTGTTTGACTTCATCATCTCCAAATCATTCATTCATTCTTTTTTTCTCCTTTCGTAATATGAAAGTTTTAAAGGATAATCAAAAGCAGAGAGAGCAGTATCAAGAACCACTATTTTTTCCTCCCCCAGCTTCAAGGATTATCAACTATTTGACACCCTTGCTTAATCTACCTCTTTTCCTCTAAAAAATCATTGCTGTGTTCTTTTAAAACATATTCCCAACATCTCATCCTTTTACCTGCTCCTAAATACTTCTTAAAAATAAGGACATTTTCTTACACAATCACAAGGCCATTATCACCCCTAATGAAATTAATTCCTTAATATTATCTAGTATTTTGTCCATATTCCACTGTCCTTGGTTGTCTCAAAATTCTCTGTTTACAGTGGAGAGATCTCACTCTCACTCCCTTAATCAAGTGAGTTTAGCATCACAGACAGGGCCACAGAATGACATCAGGAGACTCCTGGTGTGATGCGAATCAAGCGCACGTCGCCCATGAGGTACGTCAACCCACTTTCCACCAGGATTTAATCAAATCTTCAGGCCTAATTTCCAATCTACAAGAAATACGCAGGAACAAGCTGACCCAAACCATGAGGAAACCATGAGACAAGTCCAGAACACGGGGCATTCTATAACTGGCCTAATTCCTTTAAAAACTCAGTGTCATGGGAGAAAAAGGGTGAAGGGACCACTCTGACTAAAAGAGATTATAGAAACACCACAACGTTGATTGGCTTCAACTTTGAAAAAACGATACATTTAGAGAAATTTGAATAGGGACTGCGTTAGATAACATGAGGAAAGTATCGCGAGTTTTCTTAGGCACAGTAATGATGTGGTTACGTGAGAGAATCTCCTTATTTTTAGGAAATTTTTCGGCTGTGTGGTTGGAGGGGAGAGTCATGATGTCTGCAGCTCACATTCAAATGGCTCAAAAACCACATGTACAGAGGAAGACAATAGGGCAAAGGTTAGCAATTGCTGGACCTAGGTGATGGGTATACGAGAGTTCATTCCACTCTTCTTTCTATTCTTCCATATGTTTGAAATTTACACAATGAAAAGTTGGGAAAAAATAAAAGTAAAACAGCACTGATGATAATTCTGACTTCGCTATTCCACAGGCAGGATGATATTAAAAATATTCAGTGACTGATATGGAATATAGAAATAAATTAATATATTTTCTTTTATTCATGAAATAACCTAAAATACATAATGGTATTTCATATATATATACATAAAACAAAGGGGTGTATAGTGTAATATAAATTATTTATCGCGTTATTCTAGTAATTTGCAAATCACTTTTTGACATTTAGAAAATGTTAGTGATCTTTAGTTTAGCATAGCCGTCACTAGCTAAATGGCGCCCCTGTCTGGGCCATGATCTGACTTGCAAATTGCATCAAAGTTTTCCAATGGCTTTCTCATTAAATCAATAGCACTGACTGACACACAGTCTCAGTAAGTAGAAAATCACTTTTATCATCAACAACCTTGCTCTGAATGCTAGAATCTCTCTCAGCTTCTACTTAACCCAAAACATCTACATCTGGGATTTTTCTAGCCTTTATCACAGTAGGGGTTTTATATAGCCAATCTCTCTTTATCAGCTGTCTTGGAAATACTTTATTAGAATGTCATATAAGTGTTTAAATGTTATAACTTTTTTTTTTTTTGGTGAGGAAGATTGGCCCTGAGCGAACACCTGTTGCCAGTCTTCCTCTTTTTTTCTTGAGGAAGATTGTTGCTGAGCTAACATCTATGCCACTCTTCCACTATCTTGCATGTGTGACGCTGCCATAGCATGGCTTAATGGGTGGTGTGTAGGTCCATGCCTGGGATCCGAACCCGTGAACCCCAGGCTACCAAGGTAGAGAGTGCAAACTTAACCACTATGCAACTGGGCTGGCCCCTATAACTTTCGGTTTAGTTAAAATCAATGGAGCTTTGCAAATATCAATTGGTCAAGTTTCAGGATTAAATAAAAGACATCAAAGTTTACTATATTTATTTATTTTTATCATAAAACAGCAAATATGTTCTCACGTAACATCTTAGACAATTTAGTAGTTTTTACCTAGGAATTGCCACTTTGTTGTTTCAGAAGGCATATCATATTTCTTTGTTTTTCTAATGCCTTCTGCTCCTTTTCCCTGTTATCTGTTTTATACATCCAATCGCTTCTATTATTTTATCAGCTTCAATAGCCGACACGCTTCTTGTAGAACGAAAGAAAGTCCTGACATCTTGGCTGGAATATCATTTATTAAACCCAAAGCTGTTTAAGTGTTTTCTTTTTCCAAATGTCAACCACTCCTATTTTATAATTTCTATTAAAGATAATATTGAAGACTCAATTCAATTGTCAAACTACCTTTGCAGCTCTAGTGCCTCAGAGCTCACCCATTGAGATGCAAATATTCTTCTAATTTTCCATTTTTAGGTTCTCTGTAAGATACACGAATTTTCTCTGACGTTTATTTGATGTGATAGTAAGTAGAATGCTTTTTCAAGAAGAGATTTTAAGTGATTTGAGTTACATCTTTTATTGCATCATTCACAGAAAATTTAATATACCCACTAAGTATCAAACTAAAACACGCAGAAAATCTTCTAAAGTTTGGCCAGAACTTAGACTTTCTCACTAGCAACACGCAGATACGCTAGCAAAACACTATACAAAATCAGCAGTGTTTGCTTGTAAATTCTCAGCGGGATCATTTTTCTTGAGCGCCAGCAATAAAGCTCAATATGTTACTTCAACTATTGTTCCATGAGGACAACAAAAACCATTAAATATCTTTAAAATCTTAAATTTCACTTCTAGGTAAATTATCAAGATATTTCTATATATGAGATGAAGTTTCAAAATTTTATTGCCTTGATTTACACTTTCCAAAAAGACGTTTTCTTATTTTGGTAGATTTATTTTGCAATAAGTTTTTTTTTCACTTGTTTACTTTTTAAGTAATAGCTTTATTAAAATATAATTCATATAACATAAACTTCAACCTTTTAAATTATTCAATTCGGTGATTGCTAGCGTATTCACAGATTTATGCACCCATCACCACTAATTTTGGAACATTTTCATCACCCCTAAAAAGAAACCCCGTCCTCACCTCTCCCCAGGCCCTGGAAACCACTAATCTACTTTCTGTCCCTATGGTTTTGCCTACGGATCCCTATAGATTCTGGACTTTACATATAAGTGGAATTGTACAATATGTCATCTTTTGTGTCTTGGTTTTATTTACCATAATGTTTTCAAGATTCATACATGTTGTAGCATATATCTGTGCTCCATTCCTTTTTGTGGCCAATAATATTACACTGGATGGAAATACTGCATTTTGTCTATTCATTTGTCAGATGGTAGACATTTGGGTTGCTTCCACTTTTTGGTGATTTTGAATAATACTTTGCAATGAGTTTTGCAAATATACACGACTCCTCCAATTAAGAGGTAGGATCTATTTCCCTGCCTCTTGAATCTGAGCTGGTCTTATGATTGGCTTTGGCCATTAGAATGTAACAGAGGCCCGAGTGCTTCTGCTGTCCCTCTTAACCCCTTCCTCCACCATGAGGACAAACCCAGGATGGTCTGCTGGATCACAAGAGACATTGTGGAGGAGAGCCCAGTTGTCCCAGCCAAAACCATCCTAGACTGGGTCTGCAGCCAACTGACCCCCAAACAGGAGTGGAATAAAGTGGCCCCCAGAGGGAATAAGTCAGTTAACATCTAGATCACTAAGGAAAAGCTCAAGGTCAGGGTCCCCAGCATCCCACCGCCAGCACAGAGGGCACTAGTGCACGGTAGAAAGAGCGCTGAACAGCATGTGGTCAAAGAGACCTGTTGTGAATACGCTGTGATCTTGAGCAAAACACCACACCTCCCCAGATCTCAGTTCCCCGCTCTGAAAAAGTAAGGGGTGGCACTAGGTGACTTCTGAGGTCCCATGCCCTCCAAGCTTGCATGAGCCATCTTGCTGGAAGGTTGCAGGCAAAGTCAGCGATCATAGATCTACTCGTGCTCAGGAAACCCACTACTGAGAGCATCTCAGAGCGCAGAATCTGGCGGAGTACACATTCGTACTGCTCCTCTGGGTTGATCTTGCATCTAAGACTTGGTCTTCATATCCTGGTGGTTGGTGGATCTGCGTCTGACCTGCCCTCCAGGCCCCGTGACCCTGCTAACCCAGTGGGTCCAACACCCTACCCCTGCTCAGGGGGACAGGTCGTGAGAAAGGCCGTGCACAGTCTCTGGAAGAATAGAATCCTGGGACAAGCCTGGCATGGATGGGGCAGATGACGTGACCTCTTGGAGGCAGGTTCATGCATTCGTACGTTCTTTTTCTCTACAAAACTTGAGCGCCTGCTGCGTCAGGCAGTGTGAGGTGTACAAGACATAGCCGCTACCTTAGCGGACATAATGTTTTCCTGCCCCTCCCTCTCCATGTGGTTCTAGAAGGCTCTCAGAGGCCCCAATCACCCCAATCGTGGTGGTGGGCACCAGACGGAAGCTAGGCCAATCAGACTCTCTAGAAATTTGAATGTTGAGCCGCGATACCCAGAGTTGGAAGGTGACTGGAGCCGAGTCACCTGGTGGCCTGAGTTGTCCCTAAATCCCAAGATCCTTGGAGATGTCCCAGTTCCCGCTGTGGCTCTTCAGTTCTTCCTCTGAAAGTATGTCTTACTTAGAATTCTCCTAGTAAATCCTGGTTTCTGCCAAAGTTAGAAAAGTTTAGTTTTTGTTCTTTGCAACTTTAAAACCCTTGCTGATATACAACCCTCAAGGAGTTGCCAGTCTAGAATTCCAGAGAGCACCCAACACAGCCACCCCCCCACACACACACACAGCCCCCCCAGGTAAATAAATATCAGCCATTTGGATAATTGGTAAGGATGTAACAGGTAAATCAGTGAATAATCGGGGATGGGGGGCTGCAGAGAGAGGCTTCAGGGGATCTCCCAAGAGTCTAGGGGGAGGCAGCACGGTGTAGGGCATTCCATAGAGGGATACTGGGAGACGCTGGTGTGTGGGGCATTATTCTAGGCCCCAAGGGTGAGCGTGGATGAGACGATAGCTATGAAGTAAATTAGAATGCAATGTGATATGTGAAATAATAAATACATCTTCCAAGTTCGGGAATAGCACGAAGGAGAGTCAGGGAAGGCTTTTGGGAGGAAGTGACACCCAGGCAAGCTTTGAAAGACGAGAGGAGATTGCCAGGCCGACAAGCGGGGATGGATGTCAAGGGCGAAGCCTGGGAAACAGGAAGCAGCTTGGTGTGCTCAGTGCTCAGCGGATAACCAGTAGTTGTTTGTTTTTTTAATTAATAAACTTTATTTTTTAGAGCAGTTTTAGGTTCACAGCAAAACTGAGCAGGAAATATAGAGAGTTCCCATACACCCCCAATTCCCACACGTGCACAGCCTCCCCCACTATCGACATCCCCCACCAGGTGGTACGTTTGTTACAAGTGTGAACCTACATTGGCTCATCACTATCCCCCAGAGTCCGCAGTTTACATTAGGGCTCCTCTGAGCGCGGTACGTTCTATAGGTTTTGACAAATGCATAATGACACGTATCTACCGTTGCAGTACCGTACAGAATTGTATCACTGCCCTGAAAACCCCACATGTTCCAGCTCTTCATCCCTCCCTCAGTCTGTGCCCTAAACCCCCGGCAACCACTGATCTTTCTACTGTCTCCGTAATTTTGCCTTTTCAGGTCGTGTTCTTTCACTTAGCAGTATGCCATGTCATTTCATGGCTTGATAGCTCATTTCTTTCCAGTGCTGAATAATATTCCTCTGTCTGGACGTAGCACAGATTATTTATCCACAGTGACCAGTAGTTTCGTGACTGAGGGTGCAATGGAGAATATTGTGGTGGGCAAAGCCCACTGCTGCTAGAACACAGAGGGCTTTCGCATGGCACACAGGAGTTGGTCCCTGTCTAGTAGGTATAAGGGCCCCACAAAGGGATATTCAGCTTGAGGGAGTAATGGGGGATTGGGTCTTGGTTTGAGGAGGCCAAGCCTAAGACCACACATGGACCACGTCCCTGGGTGGGGGTTCCATCACTTAGCTATGCAAGCTTCTGAGCCTCAGTTTACTCACCCTTAAAACGGGCTGATGCTAATACTCAACCTGCCTATGTCACAGGGTTGCCATGAAAATGACCTGAGAGGATGCAAGACAGGGCTCTCTGTGACCTGCTATGCATAGCACCCAGTAGGGATTAGCGTCCCAGACAGCCCTCCCCCGCCGCCCCCACCTCACACTCTGTTCTCCTCTGGCTATTTAGATGAATGCTATGCTAGCTTATGTTTCTTCTAGTCAAAACCCGGAGCAGATTCCCTTCCAGAGGAGAGAGAGAGTGGGGGAGAGATGAAACATCTTCCACTCAAGTGGGGACACACAGCCTACCTGAGAGCTTTCTCTTCGTTCCTTTTCTACCTGAGGTCAGTGGGTATTTCCTGAAGCCTCTCAGAACAGGAGCACAGCAAGGGTTCTGTCCTCAGACAGCACTGGGCCTCCCATTCTCAAGCCAGCCCCTCCTGCTCGGTGGCTGGCAATCCCACCCTTTTCCTCCTGTCTCAGCAACTGTGCATTATTTATTGAGAAGTTCCAAGCTCCCAAGTGCTCGGGCATTTTCGTGTGCGGTGTTGGCATGGGCGTTTCTGGCACGTCCAGCCTGCCTGCCAAGCCAAGCTCCCATCATCTTCCTCCGCTCGACAGTTCTCAAAGCGCCTTCAGCGGCTGAGGCCCATGGCGCCTGCAGCATTTAGAAAGTGAAGATGAGTTTCCTGGAGAGTAGCCGCTAATTAGGGTGACCAACTCATCCTGGTTTGCCAGGAACTTCTCATTTTAGCACTGAAATTCCCACATCCTGGAAACTTCTCAGAATGGTGGTCATCCTACATCCACTCGAAACTGAACTCAGGGATCCAAATGACGTTTCAAGGATGGTGATTTTGTAGGATTACCATCCCTACAAACCCCTGGTGATTTCCCCAGCCTGCTTTAATAGTTGGTTCTTCCTTGGGTGAAATTGGCAAAGCCTGGTGCATCCTGGGCCAACCAGAGCTAGTAAAACTCCATGTGGAGTGTATTCACTTGCAGGCTGTATAGACTAGAAGAAATGAGCACACCTGGATGAACAATGACCTTAGGGTAAATAAAAGCCAAAGGGGAGAAACCCACGGCAGGGAGGAGGGGAGGAGGAAAGGCAGGGGCAGGGGCAGGGGCAGGGGCAGGGGAGTGAATAGACCAGGCCTGGACTCCATGGGATGTCTTAAGCCAGTCGGGGTCCTCCAAGTAGCCAGGACCATCTCACCTGCTGCGTGGTGTTCTTTAAGAGCGACTTTCACATTCTCCTTCCTTTCAGAGACAAGGCACTAGTCTGCACTACCCCCCACCTGTCCAGGCCATCAGTTCTGGTCCAGCTGGACAGATTCCCTGTCCATTCAGCTCTGGCTTCTCTCCTGAGCCCCCTCCCCCAGCACACTAGCTGCCCCAGAGAAGAACTAAGGCGTTCTGCACAAACACATTCCCCGTGCAGTGGTGATGGAGACCCCCATTATGGAGTGGTGATCTTAGGGGCTTGCTGGCCACCTCTCCTAGGCCTGGGAAGTAGCTTAAAACAGTGCTATGAAGTGGCCTTTGGAATCAGAATCACCTGGGGTTTGAATTCCTCAACTGTGTGCCCTGGGGCAAGTTACTCAACCTCTCTGTGCCTTATCTGTACCTAGAGATGGGGTAATACCTTTTCATAGGGTTAGTGTGAGGATTAAGTGAGATAGAGTAGGTGATGTCCTGAAAACAAAGTCTGGAAGACAATAATAAGTGCCGATTACCTGGGGCTACTGTTGTCTCGAACCACGTCTTCATCCCACACAGCTTTATAGATAGTTGGCAAGCACTGGCGCTGGAAGGTCTTCCACAGAAGGGGCCCCGTGGAGGAATCTGGGGGCCAAGTGGGATGTGAAGAACGTCAGGAGCTCAGGGCGCCTCTTCCTCATTTTATCTGTTGACTACACGGGGCTTTGGGTAAGCTTTGGTGGGAAGAAAGAGTTCTACTCACTAATAAAAAAAGGTCATGAAACCACAGACTGGTCTAGCCCAGCATGGTCCGATAGAACTTTCTATGGAAACGTTCTACATCTGCACCATCCAATACAGTAGCCACTAGCCACGTGTGGCTACCGAGCACTTAACATATGGGCTAGCACAACTGAAGAACTGAGTTCTTAATTGTATTCCATTTTAACTGATTTGAATCCAGATTTAAATAGCCAGTGGCTACCATATTGGGCAGCACAGGACGCTAGGCCTTTATGTCCCAAAGAGGGACTGAGGCAAGGGCAGTGTTGTATGGGCCCCAGGCCGTAAAGCTGGTGAAAGAACCAGAGTCCAGGCCTCCTGCCTCCTCCTTCAGCTGTGTCTGCTCCAGACCATCATGGACTCAGGAGGTTAGCCCATCTCAGGGGACATTTGTCCCAGATTGACGCAAACAAAGAACAGGCTGCAGCATTCACTATGGAGCCCCCGTGGGGTTTGGCATCCTGCTCAGGAAGCTTGGCTGCCCTTGGCTAAGCCTGCGATGCCCTCAGTGGTGTCCTGGCCCTACAGTAGCAGGCAGGCCAGAGCCAGGCAGGGGTCAGGGGACCTCGCCTGGGCAGCTGCAATCTAGGCGACCCCTTCCTGACCAGCACACTCCTCCCTCTGCCCCAGCTTGGGTAAGAAGGGCTGGATCAAGGTGGAGGTCAGTCACATGTCTGCGGCTCACGCACACGTTCCACCTGCTCATTCCCGAGTTCTGCCCACTCACAGGTACCCAGGTGGGGGATCAAATTAATCCCCATTCTTTATCCGGAGGCTGGCATTCAAGTCTCCACCCACCCAGGGAGAGTGGGCACAGAGTTACAAGCTAGGCTGAGTGACATCCAAGCCCTCAGGAGAAGGGGGCTGGCAGGAGAGATCCTGGCACCTTTCTCTCGCCATCTGTCCCCCACCAAATCCTGCATGAGTGCGCTTTACTGCAGCCGATGCTGGGAAATCATGCTCCGGGCGCCTGGAGACCTGGTGGGACCGATTGTCAGCCCCGTTTCCTTAGTGGGGGATGTGGTGTCTTCTCTCCCTCCCTCCCTTGCTCTCTCTTTTTCTGTTTCCCACCTCCTTCCTCTTTTCCCCTTCCCTTCTCTTTTGTTCAAGTAAATTTTTATCAAAATGTAACGTATATATAGAAAAGGACACAAAGTGTAAATTTATGGCTTGTTGAATTTTCACAAAGCAAGCATACCTATGAAACCAGCACAAAAATCAAGAAATACACATATTGTGGCGATCATTTTGCTATATATACATATATAGAATCATTATGTTGTACAATTGAAACAAATATAATGTTATATGTCGATTATATCTCAATTTAAAAAAAAGAAATAGAACATACCTGTGGATTAGAATGCTCCTGCAAGCTCCCTCAGTCCTCGCTCCTCCTCTCCTGACTCGTCTCGTTGTCGTGGACTGAATGTTTGTGTCCTCCCAAATTTCATGTGTTGAAACTCTACTCCCCAGGGGGATGGTATCTGGAGGTGGGGCCTTTGGAAGGTGATTAGGGCTCCACTAGGTCATGAGGGCGGAGCCCTCAGGTTGGGATCAGAGCCCTTATAAGTGGAGAGGGTTTGAGAACCAGGCAGAGGATCCTCGCCAGAATTCCACAACGCTGGCATCCTGATCTCAGACTGCCAGCCTCCAGAACTGTGAGGAATACATTTCTGTTGTTTATAAACCACTCAATCCATAGCATTCTGTTCTAGCAGCCCGAGTTGACTACAACACTCTCCATAAACTAATTTACTATAAATTAATTTTGTCTATTTATGAACCTGTCTACTTCTTTCTCTCAAGATTGTGTTTGTAAGATTCCATGTTGGTGAGTACAGCAATTGTTCAGCTGAATGGATTTTTGAGACTTTTCTGGAAGAGGGTGCAAATAATGCAGGTAGGGACATTCTCATCATGTGTTTTGTTAAACCTACATCTGTATTTCTTTGGTGTATATATTAAAGAGTAAATTGCTGGTCATAGGGATGCAAATGTTCAGCTTTAGTAGATACAGCCCACAGCTTTCCAACGTTGTCACACCAATTCATACTCCCACGGCAAAGCATGAGAGTTCCAGGAGCTCCATCCTCACCCACGCTTGAGTTTGTCAGTTTGAAACATTTTAGCCATTCTGGTTAGTGTGAGCAGCGATCACTGTGGTTTGAAATTGCGCTTCCCTAGAAACTAACGAGGCTGAGCACCTCTCTGTGTGTTTATTGGCTGTTTGAATAACTTCTTTTGTGAAGTTCCTGTTTGAGCTCATTTTTTTTTATGTCTGCCCTTTTTTTATCGATTTGTAAGAGTTCTTATACACTCCAGACATGTTTTTGAAATATGTATGTATGCATATATGTATGTGTGCGTATGTTGTGTGTCTGCATTTAAAGGTGTTTTCTGCTGAACAGAAATTTTAAATTTTAATCTAATCCAATTTACCAGTTGTTTTCCTTTATGGTTAAGTTTTTTTGCAACTTATTTAAGAAATCTTAACCTATTCCACAGTCATGAAAATGTTCTACTGAATTTTTTTCTAGGAAGTTTATTGTTTTACTTTTCATATTTTAATTTTTGCATATGGTGTGAGGTAAGGATCAAAATTTTTGTTAAATGATCTGAGCGTCAAAATTTGTTTTTTCCCTGTGTATATCCAGTTGACTCAGCACTAGTTATTAAAGATAGTCCTTTCCTCATAACACCCCACCGTCACATTTGTTGTAAATCAAATCAGATCTGTTTCTGAACTCTCTTTTGTTCTCATGGCCTGTTTATTGTAACATAGGTTTATAATAACTGTTGATATCTGGTAGTATAAATCCCTGAGGTTTGTTCTTTTTGGACATTCTTGGCTCTTTGCACTTCCATATAAATTTTAGAATCAGCTTGTCAATTTCCACATCCCCCAAATAATCTTGCTGGGATTTTGATTGCATTGAATCCATAGATCAATTGGGAAGAACTGACATCTTTACAATATTGAGTCTTCTGAACCACAAACCAGATATACCTATCCATTTATTTAGGCTTTTATTAATTTCTTGCAATACTGACTTGTATTCTGTGTAGAAATCTCGTGCATCTTTCACTAGTTTTATTCCAAGGCATTCGATGGGGTGGGGAGTGGGGGTGGCATGTACGTGTGCGTGTGCACATACAATATTATAAATAGCAATATTTTTAAATTTCATTTTCTACTTGTTTGTTGCTAGTATACTGAAATACAACCAACTTTTATGGATATTGACCTTGCATTGAGCAGCCTTGCTAAATTCACTTATAATTCCAAGAGTTTATCTACAGATTTTTTGACTTTCTATGGGTACAATCATGTTTCCTGTGACTAACAACAGTCTTATTTTTTCCCTTCCATTCTTTATACCTTTTACTTATCTTTTTACCTTTTTGCTCTTTCTTGGCCCTTTGTATAATGTTTAACAGAAGAGTCGGCACGGCTCGTCCTCGTCTCATTCCTGATCTCAGGGAGAAAGCTTTCATTATTTCCTATTCAGAAGGATGCTCACGACAGTTTTTTTGCAGATATTCTCATATTGAGGAAGTTTCCTCACTCTTCTATAAATTTCTCTTCCTAGTTTTCTGAGAGTTTCTTATTATTACTATGAATAAATATTGAATTTTATCAAATGCATATGATTTTCCCACTTATTTGGTTAATGTGATAAACTACCTTGATTGAATTTTTTTCTTAAGATTTTATTTTTCCTTTTTATCCCCAAAGCTCCCCAGTACATAGCTGTGTATTTTTAGTTGTGGGTCCTATTTGTGGCATGTGAGATGCTGCCTCAGCATGGCTTGATGAGCAATGCCATGTACGCACCCAGGATTCAAACTGGCGAAACCCTGGGCTGCCGAAGTGGAGCAAATGAACTTAACCACTCAGCCACGGGGCCAGCCCCTGAATTTTTTTTTTAATGTTAGAATAATCCTTCAGGGCCAGCATGGTGGCATGGTGGTTAAGTTTGCATGCTTTGCTTTGGTGGCTTGGGGTTTGCAGGTTCTAATCCCAGGCACAGACCTACATATCACTCATCAAGCCATGCTGTGGTGGCATCCCACATATAAAATAGAGGAAGATTGGCACAAATGTTAGCTCATCAACAATCTTCCTCACACACACACACGAAATCTTACATTTGTAGAATAAACTTTCTTGTGAGATATTATCCTCTTCATATATCACTGGATTTAGTTTCCTAATACTTTGTTAAGGGATTTTGCATCAGTGTTCAGGAAAAGATTCACTTGTAATTTTCCATTTCTGTAATGCCCTTATCAGATTTTGAAATCAAGATTACGCTGGCTTTGCAAGATGAGTTGGACAGTGTTCCATCTATTTCTATTCTCTGGAACAGTTTGTGTAAGATTGGAGTTATTTCTTCCTAAATTGTTCAAAAGGATTCTCTGGTGAAGCCATATGTACCTGGAGTGTGTGTGTGTGTGTGTGTGTGTGTTTTACTCAGTTTTTCTAGTTGTTTTCAGAGAAAATTGGTCTTCCTGAAGCTACTGCACCATAGCTGGAAGCAGAATTCCCTGAAAGTCTCTTAAATCAAGTTTTGCTGCAAGTGGATCATGACTGAAAGAAGGAGGTGTGAGGAGCTTAAACCCTAGCTCCACATGCACTAACAAGATGCAAGTCGGGGCAGTGGGCTCGCCCAGCAGGCAGTCTCAGGCCCACATGGGGAGAAGGGGGCAGGGTGGTTTGACAGAAGTTTCAGGGACAACTGGCCCTTCAGACTAGGGAATGAACTCTGGCTTAGCAATTTTATTCTAGGTGAGGCTTGAACTAGTTACCAAGCTTATTTCTTTGTCTATGAAATAGGGACCATACCTCCTGCCTCACGGGGATCCTGCGGGAAGTAGGATTTGGCTAATGCACGTGAAGGAGGTAATACTGGCCAGACACTGAGGCGGCCCTCAAGAAAGGGGTGGTAACGAAGTTGTTGTTGTTATTGTTAAAATCACTGGACCTCAGTCCTTAGCCTTTTGCAGACCACTAAGGACCTGGAAGGGGTGTGAGGCCGCTGCCGGGTTGGCCCAGCTGTCAGAGAGAGGCTGGTGCCATTCCTGGACAGGCTGTACTTCCCAGCCCGTGGGTGGGTGTGCTGTTGGGCCAGGACCCTTTAGGCGCAGCCTGTGGGCATGCACAAGGCAGCCCCACCAGGATCGCAGCCCAGGTTAGGCTTGACCTCTGACCGCAACAGACTCCTGAGCAAGGGTCCTACCTCTTCCAGACCAGGGCAGTGGAGCAGGCCCTGCTGGCTGAGCTTTGCAGTCCTGCCTTTGTGTAACAGCTTGTAACTTGGCCTCACAGTTGGGATGGGGCTAGTTGGCTGGCTCAGCTGTGCTGAATTCACACCTGAAGGTCACTGGCCTTGGATTTGTAAGTCTAAACGATCAACTCTATGAAAGGCATTTCTCTAATCAGGGTTCTCCACCCTGGCTGCACTCTGATTCTCCAGGGATTGTTAGCAACACACCAAGACCCAGGCCCCACCACTGGGCTCTCGTCTAACAGGGCTTACCAGGTGATTGTGATGCGTGGTCAGGGGTGAGACGGCCACTCTAAGTCTGCACGACCATTCAAGTGGGCAGCCTGTTGAAGCAGGAGGGGCCCAGGGCACCTCCATCCAGGCATCTTCTTATGAGGGATGACTGAGGCCTGGGAAGATCACCTGGGCTCTTAATGACAGGGTGGCAAACAGGCTTCGTTTCCTGGGCTGGCCACTCTGCAGCTGTGGCCTGACACAACATTCCCTTTGTAGAGCACAGCATGGCACTGCGACAGCTTCTCGGCCCCAAACCAGGTCAGGCTGGTGGGTGGAGTCCAGGCCCGGGTGACCACAGCTGCTGTCACTCAGGGCACACCCACCACCCGCCAGGCTTGGGGCACTTTACATGCATCATGCAGGTGGCGCCATCCACACTCTGTGGTGATGGCAGTGAGGCCACCAGAGGGAATCATCCTGACTGGGAGGCCTGCGTGTGTCCCCTTAACCCTCCCTCCCAGGGGAGGCCCTCCAGAACGGAAATCAGCCAATGGGGCCCCTCCCCAGGGCTGCCTGCAGAGGATAGGGAGGGAAGAGCAAAGATCCGCTCCTCTGAGCGTCAGTTTCTGGCAGCCCAACGGCCATCTGGTCCTCGGTGCAAAAAAATATTTCTAAGAAATCCTGTCCAACGATGGCCAAGTGTCCCCGGCCTCACCTCTGGATATTTACATATTCATCAGCACAAGTCTGCCATTAAAAGAAAATGATGGTCATTTGACACCCATATGTTCCCTTTCAAAACGACAGACTGATATTTATCCTCCCGAAAAGAGCGAGTTCTAAAACAGACGGCTGAGCACGCATGTCCCTGATTTGCAAAGAAACAATCCTCTAAATTAAAAAGGTGTCAACGCAGCCCACCAACCAGTGGATCTCTGTCCACAAGTCAGGTTAAGGCTCCCACTCAGTTTTGGCTAAATCTGAACATCATGAGGTTTACTTTCTTTAAAAGGAAAGTGTTTAAATATGTTGGCAGGAAATGTATTCTTCCACCTTTTGAATTAAAAAAAAAAATGCTTCCAAGGACATGAGGCCTCCTCGTTGGTTTTCCCATGTTGCCTTATGGCTGCAGGGAGCCCCTGCAGGAAAGGAGAGGCCTTGGGTTCTGAGGACCGATTGCAGGTGCTGTCCCCAGCTTGGCCACCAACTGGCTGCAGGACCTGGGGCAGGCCACTTCCCCGCCCTGCGCCTCCGTTCCCCTAGCTGTCCAGGGAATGGGGAGTTGGACTAGCTCCGTTGTC